TCCTAGCGTGGGTAGGGTGCCACAGGATTCTACAACAAATCAAACATCAAGGACACCCCGCATCTTTGCAAGTTTTCAGACAGAAATTTTTGGTTGTGGCGCCAACCCATTACATCGTGGCACAACATTTTGACCAAGTGTTGATTTAAAGCCGTGTGAAGCCAGGGTAGATCCTTTGCGATAAGCGTGCGCTGAAAATCCAAAACAATATTCTGTGACCAAAGTTTCTACATGTTCATACTGTACTATTCTATGTATGATCTCCAATGGGGAAGTGTCCTCGCAGGTGATTCCAACTTTGGCCCTTTGGAGAGGGATGTCACTGAGAAACTCGCTTCTGGGGTTCCTGGGCAGAACACATCTTGGCAGTGCGAACACCAAATCCATCAGCTTATAAATGAATTTAGCGGTGCAAATACTTTGCAATTTCTATTCTATTACCCTTTGCAGGGTTGCTTTACTTCACTCGGGTGGCCTGAGGAAACAACCGCATTGTCAGCCATGAGATCAGCTCGTGCAACCTATGAGGATGCTCGGCTATAAATGATCCTGTGCAGAAGTCGCAATCTCGCGGTGCAGTGTGGCCATGGACACAATCTCGATGTTTTTAGATTTCACGGAATGGGCGCCTTCTTGATCGTGCTCCGATTTGTTTTGAGCTCTCGCTGCAACGCATCGAAAGAGTTCTCAGCGTGATCAACCTCAGACTCTTTGAGGTTCATGTTGTTCTGGCTCTTCTTCATGAAGTGCACACGCATTGATTGCCCATCCCAAGGCCAGGTACTGGCCACTGTTAACCCAGTCAGTGGGTTGGCGTGACAGTCCCTCTCAAGCGCCTGTTCCTAAGGAGTCTCGAGGATGCACCGGTCCCTGGACCGAAAAGCTTGCCAGCTATGCTCCTGGAAATGCCTCTCGCGATTTCAAGCGCAATGCTTCTTTGCCATTGGACACCAGGCTTCAACTTAGAAGTTTCAATTAAGTCAAGTATTGGAAGAGGTGCCTGTGTGCGCTTTGGAGCTTGGGTGTGGCCATGTGCGCTTTAAAGCTTGCCCATCCCATCCCATCTCACCCCACACTTGAGACAACGCCCTGAGCCCATCCCATCCAGTCCATCGTACCTGAGCCATCGCCTGATGTCATCCTTCACGCCCAGGAGCCTGTGATGGTGGAAGTGGCTGCGAAGGTGGAGACGGGGTCCACTGACTCTGGCCGAATGTGCCCTGGATTGAGGAAAAACATATCGAGATAGATTGGACAGGGTGTTCATGTTTGAATCACAAGTTGCCAAAGCCAGATTGAGGAACCTCCCAGTTATTTTGCCATACGATGTCATGGACTACCTCATTGGTTCATGCCACCTTCCCATCGATGATTTGCTACTCAACAAGTTCTGGAGCCATTTGGATTCGGTGCAGGATCCATGGGCACTGTCGACGAGTGATTTTAGAAAGGCTGCAGGCGCCAATGTGATCCCTCTTGGGTTCTATGGAGATGAGGCGTGTATTGGCTTGGTGACGGACCCTTACAACCAAATCTATGGGCTCCTTATGTCAGTGGTATTGTTTCGACCTACATCGACCAGGATGTCTCGCTTTCTTTTGTGTTCGGTGGATAGCCACCGGATAGAGTCTGCTGAAGGAACCTTTTACCCGGTATTGGAAAAGATCACGGAATCATTCAACAGACTATCATCAGAAGGGGTGCATGGACGCCGTTGTTTGGTGTCGGAAATCAGAGGTGACCAAGCTTTCTTCAAGTACATGTTCAAACATGAGTCTTGGTGGCGACATACCAATGTGTGCTTTCGCTGTCGTGCAACCTCCAAGCCAACACCCTTGAACTATTGCATTTATGAATCTGCTGATGGTTGGAACACAACATGCCGCTCAACCCAGCAATTCATTGAAGAGCAGTTGCCGCAAGACAACATCTGTGGCCTGGATTGTCTTTGTCCCGAAAAAACCTCCCAATTCCGTTGTATGGGATGGCTATGGCTACGGGCCCCTCAAATTTCCAAATCCCTGGTCTACTTTGGTGGGATGGGATAGCTCCAGTAGGATTCTCCTAGAGTAGGGCAAACACTTCTCTTGGCCATCCAGGTCCTTTGACAGACTTGGACTATTTTCACATCAGCATGTTGAAGCACTGCACCCTCCACATTTGCAATTTGACACTCCTTGGGGTGGCCAACGGATCAACCTTGAGCCTTCGATTGTGATTTAGACTTGAAAGTCTTTTAGGGTCACCCCTGAAAACGTGTTTTGAACTCAACCTTTGGAACTTTGATTTCCACTTTGTGGTCTATGATCGAAATCCAAGGGGGATGATGTTGGATGCTGGAATCTTTGGTGATGTTTCCCAGGGCTACGCTGTGGCCCTAGGGGAAGCCTACGAGAATTTCACCCGCTGGAGGAAGATCAACAAAATACAGAGCAGCCAGAAGCGATTCACACCGGGTCAGCTGTTGAGAGATGGTTATGGATTTTTCCTCAACACCAAAGGCTTTAATGCGAGGTTGATTTCTCAATGGCTGTTTGATTTGGTGAGAGCGCATCCGACTGGTGATCCAAGACATGAAATGGTAGAAGTTGCTTTGACCCTTGGACAAAATGATAGGCCCAAACGCCCTCCTTACCTAGTGGCCAACGTTGGCATTAGCCACAAAACCATCAACCAGTCGTCCCAGGACCGCTATTTGCAGATACTTCGGGCTGACTGAGCGCGCCTCAAGGTGTTTGCATCTTGGCGCAACCATGGCAGTGTGGTTGGAGGAGTCACCCCCAATTTTTTGGCTTCAAGTAAAGGTGGGTTTATATTGATTGCCCATTCTTCATTGATTCGCCAGGTCATTGGCGGAAGCTGATTCCATCGAGCAAGCCGGGAAGACGTTTCTGCTGGCATACCGGCGGCTCAACACCATGTGCTGCAGGACCATGTGAAAAAATCAACAGTGGTGCCTACAGGCTAAAGGTTCTGCCAAAGGGTCCCGAACGGTCCAACCTCGACTAACCAGGGAACTTTTCTTTTGGGTTGAAATGCTCCCTGAAAGGATGGGATGCCTAGCCTGGGTGTTGACACCCAAGTGGCATGTGCCTTGGCTGGTCGAAGTAACTGCTGCTGACCGAAGCATGTGCTATGGACCTTTGGTTGATCCGAACCACACTGTCCGAGGCAATGGCCCACGTGTTGATCGATGTTGTTCGAAAAGCCCGATGCTAGACAGCATTCATGTATACTATCCTAGGAGTCGACCTACAAAGTTTTAACTGGTATTGATGCTGCGTCGAAGCTTTTCCAAGGAACAAACCCGCGCATGCAACACACCTTCGTTGATGAAGACCAGATGCGGGTGCTCAAGAGTTGGGCCAAGAGATCGGCTGGAAAGAGAAGACCCTATGGAGTAATTTTTTTGGCCAGAATGCGCTACAAGAGTTTGCGCTGGCGAATTCCGAAGCTGAAACAAAAGAGAGGTTGAAAGAAAAAGCGATGCAGCTGATGATGTGGTGAAAACTTCGACGCAGCATATGTACTAAGTTAAACTTAGTATTTAGCAAATGCTATGTAAAACATCGTCTTAGGACTCGTAGGGTATATATATATTATGATATATTATGTATATAGCATGGGTTCTGATATGTTCTGAGCATTGTTGCTTTTCTGGGAACAACAAGGTAAAGGTAAATGACCTTCCGGATCCAAGGCTGGAACTGCTCACACATCTGCCGAGAAGCATGAACTGAGTATGTTTGATAGCCTGGACCACAAAACTCCAAATCTTCTGGAGTCATTTCGCGGCCATCCATGACTGCTCGCCGGTACCATCTGTCAAGTAGGCAAATGTAACCTGGCTTGTGGCCAGCCCTGGCAGTTTAATAAATTAATATATATATATATATATAGAGACTGAAGGGTGTATTGTGTTACCTTGCTGAAGCACCTCAGGGACCACAACGGCCATCATGGTGCAAGGTACGGCACGTGTGTACAGTCGTAGAGGTGTTTACAAAATCACAGGAAAAATGCATTTGGGCGAGTTGGGGCTGTGCACATGTAGGGGTCTTGTTCCAGGCACAACCGGCTTCTTCGCCAATGCTTTGGGGAGGAAGTCCGCCGGAAGAGGGGTGATGTTTATTCCTTTATGGGATACATATTCAGCAAATAAGGCAGAAAACGCAACTTGAGGATCTTCCTCATTGGTATTAGTATGTTCTTTTTGGAAATCCATATTGGCTACCATGAGTCCATTCATTACGGCAAAAGACGGAAGCCAATCTAGAATAGAACGTGGTTGATTTCTGAATAAATAAATTTGTTAAATAACAACAATAACATTACGACGCACATCATTCGAGCTACCAAACCGGCAGTTGCAACCCAATTTGGTCACTGGCTCTCCAAAACCGGAGCCTCGGACGAGAGACAACAATGTCCAAGGGACGGACTTGCATCCCCTTGGGCACATCTGCAAGAGAGGAAGCTGGCACATCCCGAGGACACCTGAGCAACGATATCATCACAAACATGTGCCATCTTAGAATTGGAACAGGCTAAAGGAGAATTCACGATATATTGAGTACTTCAATACACTTGATGCTTCGAAACCAAAAGTATTCCTTCAGCTTTCAAACCCACTCGTTGCTGGTTTCTCACAACCATAGTCGCAGAACCATGACTGCATTTCTGTCGTATGTAATCTTTCACTGCTCATGATGCAATCATCTCATCCAACAGGGTTTTTACATTACAGTAATCATTATAATTGCCGACAGCAATGCGAAAATACCAGGGCATGACTAGAAACATCACGCCAGCAATGGCTGCTTGACCAACCATCTCATGCTGCGACCCATAATTGCGAAAGGATCCACAGGGCTGTATATCCAATGTGCAATCATACCTCAGAAGAAAACAAGCCGTTTTGGAGAGTGGTTTGCAAGTCAGGACCGTGGTTCATGTTTCTTCGATTCAAAAACCAGGCAGCCGAATGCAAACGAATATATCTATCTGTGATTGCCAAGCTTCTCCAGGAGGGAATACCGACCTGCGAAACAAAGCAGAAGCTGTCGAGGCGAGCGCATCGAGTGTCCGACTTCTTTGACACGGCCTTGGCCCCTTCGGTCTTGGACTGCGCAGTGGTAAGCTAGTTGAAACGTGCCGTAACTTACTCAATGCACGGAAACATGGGAAAAACAAACAACACACAAATAATAACAACATACAGTACATCTAAAGTCTTTAATACCCCACTTGAGGCCAAACTGTTGAATTGTTTTTCTTGTGGTCTGTCTTGGCCTGACTTGCCTCAAAGCGCAACTGCTCTTTTGGCGGAGCTTGCTTGCTCAGCCGATTCTTCCGTGTGGGGCATCGAAAGGGTCTGTCCGTGTGTTGTGCACGAATGACATGAATGACATGTCTTCCGGATTTGTCATTCATGTCTTCCGGGAAGGGCTACCAGGGCCCAGCCTGCAATGGTTTCAAAGTGTTGTGCAGCAATTTCGAGGTCACGCTGCTGCTGGAACGGTGTTGTGCAGCAATACTTCTGGTCCAACCATCCTCAGCTCGACGCGGGCGGATGTGTTGTTGCATTCCAACACATCAAAACACACACCGTTTTTTGCGCTCCACGTCAAGCATCGAGATAGCAGGAGTCCAGCGCTAGCGCGTCTGCACCTCACATTTTCCTGGACAAAGCAGGGATGTCTTGATGGAGGTGATTGTTTACCCTTGTAGCTACAGGAGTTTGTGGTTCTGTTTAGCAGCTCCGCACCAGTGTCACGTGGCAATGACACTGGATGCTGCTGACTTGTATGAGCCATCGGGTTGTCTGGGGATGTTGACCACACATCAGCGTGGGGATGAGCATGGATCTGGATATCTTGAACTATGCTAGTAGCTGCTAGCTGCGAGTACTTAGTATGTAAGATCTCAGTATGCAATCTGGACGTCGGGGGCGTCCCAAATACGGCTGAAGGCGCCTGTCAATTGTGGTCAATGGTTACCCAACAGAAGCCAATGACCGCTTTTCGTCCTGAGCCACTGCCAGGAAAGTGGAGCTGTGTGCCCAAGGTGCCAGCTGGGCGCATCTGGCACAGCTCTCACCATCCAGAAAGCTAACAGTTCTCAAAAAGGCCAACTCCTTGGCTGTCACGCAAAGCGAGGTGTAAGGCTCATGTCATCCAGTACTTCATCTGACTCCACTCCACCATGACTGTATGTGTGATCCGGCCAAGAGGTGTTCGTGTCCACATTCTCTCCTATTTGAGTTGAGACTGAGGCCATTCCTTCTCGCTCTCTCGCTCTCTCTGAAGCCATGTGAAACCAAGGATCGACCTTCACCATTTGCTGGTTCTGAGACCTCAGTCAGCAGGTCTTTTTCCGAACGTCTTCCTTTGCTCCCGCGAAAGAAGGGGGATGCGGACTTCAGCTTGAAGGACTTGCAAGCGGACTGGCCTATTATCAACAAATTGGGCCTCGCGAGACTCTTGGTGGAAGCTAAGTCTTGGACATCAAAAAAGTTACTGGTGTCTGCGATCCCGCTACATCTCTGCCACAGGCTGCACCAGGGCAGGCTCTAGAACTTGTCATGATCTGCCTGCAAAATCTAAAATGTGAAAAACACCGGCCTCTCCCAGTGGTACATTTGCGTTGGCCTCTCCCCCATCTCACTTCAGAACACGACTGGACCGTTCAGCTAAGCCACCAGTGGTCAACTTGGGACTCTGACAAGCTCTGGAGATTCTTCCAGCTTGGAAATTCCCATCCCGGAGCGACTTGGAGGACGTCTTCCAGAACCATGGCTTCTCTTTGAGCCATGTGATCCTGGATTGGGCTCAGTTTCGCCGAACACGGGAGCTGTACCACCGAGAAACTCCCCGTAAGTATCCTTAGTCCTTAGTTACACTGTGCCAAACGGCCGGCAATTTGACCATGGGCCTCGAGCATCCTATATACTAGTAACCCATTCCAAAAAAGGAGTGACATCTGCCATCTTGAGGCCATGGACTGACGGCCACAAACGAGCCAAGCCTAGGGCCTGAGGCCACAAACGACCTCTTACAAAGGTAGCTCCAGCCTTAAAAAGAAACAATGCAACATCAAAGCCGGTGAGTCTCAAGCGTTCAAAAGAACACTGAGCATCTTCCTCCTCCCCCTGACCTGTTCCAAACAAGCTCCAAAACAAAACACATCCAGGACCCAAACCTTCAACCTTCCAAGCATGACTTGTTTCCTCCCATCCCCTCGCCCCTGCACTGGCCCCTTTTTGGCGCTATTCCAGGGCGGCCGTGATCTGCGCGATCCAACCTGAGGCGCTCGGCTCTCGCTCGGCCGCTCGGCTCCAGTCGCTGGGCGTGCGCGGTATTGCGCGGTGCGGCGAGGCGAACCGCGCCTTGCAGGGACTCCATGGGGCCACCATGGCCTTGGTCCGGCAGGTCTGGATGAGGCCACGGCCATGGTAAAAACACGGATGTTATGGTGGGATGTTGGTGTGGTTGGCGTGGTGTGGTAAATGGGAAGAATTGAAAAGTGATCAGAAAATTGTCAGAAATATTCAGAAATGGTGTCTTGCATGCCGGAAGTGCATGGAAGTGCATGATCTATCATCTCATTCCAAGAAAGGTGGCCAAACATTTTGCCTTGTGGGTGTCCACTCTTTGTGGCATCGAACATCCTCAGCCCCTGACTGTCTGGTTTCTCAGCATCAGCCTGGTCAAGGTCCTCCTGAAGTAGCAAAAAACATGCAAAAACCACATACAGCAGAGTGGCCCAAAGCTGTGACAACGACCATGGGACATGGAACGCAACTGCCCACTGCCCAGTAGTTAGCCAAACTTGGTGGTGCAGCCCGTAGCCTCGGCCGTCACCCCTCAACTCTGATCATCCCTCATGTGGTAATTTTGCGTGAATTTTGCATTTGGCCATAGCCCTCATTACTCAATGCCGCAATCGAACATTATCGATCATATATGACTCTGGGTTCCAGGCTTGCCCTATTCTGGCTTCCAGATCTTGTAGCACTTGAGTCAAAACCTGGCCAAATTCTGCACTACCATCTGCACTTCATCTGATTCCACGATGGCTAGGCGCCCAGCAGCGGCCACGTAGCCCCGGAACTCCAGCTGACTCAAGCCTGCATGAGTTGAAGCAAATGCTTGTTGCTTCGTGTTTGCATGCGCATCGTTGTTCCTCAACCACGCCCAGCAAGTAGACGCACCTGTTGGATCTGTTTGGGTCACCGCCACGAAACCCCCGCACCTGTCTCATCCCGCTCGACGGTCACTGCCTTGGTGGACCAGAAAGGGTCGGGCTGCAAATGAGCGAGACATGCCGCACCAACTTGTTGGACAGGGCAATAACCACCTGTTATCTTCTCCAAGGATCCTCCACAGGGGCATGGTGGTTTCTTTTTTCCAACTGTTTTGGGTTCTATTCTCACTGTTGGCGGAGAAAAAATCACCAGCCCTCCACAGACTCCGAATCATCCCTGCCATCCATTTTGGCGCGTCTGTCGGCCAAGCAGCTGCGTAGACGTGCCGAAGCCGCTCCAACGTGTCGGGGCACCGCACAGCGAAACGGTCAATGAGAACTTGCCTCGGTGTTCGAGCCGAGGCGTGGCGAAGGGCGGATTTGTAGGGCTGGTTTTGGAAGAGACTGACGACCTGACCCGAAGCTCATGGATGTTTGAAGTGCGGCGGGGTGTTCCAACAAAGTGACAATGACGTCTATAGCACAATATAGAACTCTATTTATAGAACCGCATTTGCCTCCAAAGGATTTGGATGGATTCTTTTTTCTCTGTCTTGGGAGGTCACTTGAGACAAGTTCGATTTCTTTGGAGGTTCCGGTGCCTTCCCGCATTTTGGAATCTGCATCGGACCGACCGAAGGGGGCGATGCTACGACCCAGTGGCGTCAGTTGATGAAGCTTCTCGATGTCCATGTAGCTGGCACCTGGACATCGAGATCTCCTTTGGACTCGGGACCTCGCCCGTGCCCTATTAAAACATTCAAATGCCAGACCTCAATACATCTCAATACCCTATGTTTAGCTGGCCACAAGGGTCTGATTTTTTGCCCTATAGGCACTGCAAATCTGACAGGTGTGAGGCATCGGTTGTAAGACTGGACGCCTGGAACCAAAAGGAACATCCAACTTGCGCCGCATGCCATGGCATGAAACATCATCCCCCATCAGGCACCTGAAACTTCTCGGCACTTCTCAGAGAAAAGCCTGGCGGATCAATCCTTCACATCCAGCGATTCAATTGTCGGTATACTCATGTACGGCAACCTGCCCCCCAAAGCAAGGTCACATCCAGTTGGCGCAGGGAAGCTCGCATTGCTGGTGTTTCAATGTAGTATACATGACATCTGAGCGCTCACAGTCGCACGCACTGCGAGGCTGGCCTGTCACACTCGGCACCCAAAGTGGTGATGTCGGAGAGGATTCCCGTCGCCAACTCCTACAGAGTCCCATCAGGGGATGTCCCGCCCCATGTGCCGAGCAATTGAACAAAGATGTAGGGATTGTGCACCCCTAAAAGATCCTAGTATATAAGATCCCTAAACATAGGGATCCCTAAATAAAGGTGTAGCGGACGCAAAAAGAAAGGATCCCTAGGCCCGAAGCTCCAACGATCCTTTTCGTCCTGCCTCCTTCCTACGCCGATCAACATTGGTCTTTGGGGATCGGACTTAGGACCACCTGAGGTGGCCCTTTTGGTCTTAGGTGAAATTCTCTCATCGTGGACTGCGATTCAACAAGGGAGGGTTGAAGAATACAGTGCAGTTCCGAATAATTCCTAACATATCTGTCTTAACCACATAGATTGGCCCTCCGGCCGGCTTTCCATCTCAAATACCACCCCAAAGATCATAGATCTGCAAGGCTTGATGGAAGATGCTCTCTCGCGACAAAAGCCGCGGCATAGTACGCACTTCATCCAAGGGAAGCGAGATGTTGCAGCAAATTCAGACATGCCACACCATTGAATGATGCTCCGCGAAAGTCTCATAATTAATCATACTTGATATTGTCATCAATAATTTGGCAGGTACCGTGGGTGTCCATTGGATTACACTACTATCCGGGATCTCCAGCCAGGGCACACAGATGGTCGGATGGTCCAGGTATGTATTCAAGTATCTTCATCTTTGGTCGGCTCATTGCTACAACAACCCGCACATCCCGCCCACCGCTCGTGAACCATCGGCTCCTTGAGCTCGGTCACGGGCATCTCCTACAAAGCGGTCGATGGTGACCGAAGGAAGGCGTTGGTTGAAAACACTATCTGAACTTGAGGCCCTATATACATACATATATATATATATGGAAGTTCCTTGCCAGGTGCGGTACAAGAGGAATTGAGAAAATCCGCGCAAGTAGCCTATCGGGCTTCTTGTGCTCTTGGCATGAATTTTGGTTGGCCGGCCTCTGGAAGTCTTGAAGTGAAGATAGTGAAGACACGGTCCATCTAAAATGATGCAAAACAAAAGCAAAAGTATTCAACGAAGAAGGGCGCCTTCCACTCATCTGCTGGCAAATCAGGTGAAAGCCATCGGACGCTGCTCCTTTCCACCTGTTTTTGGCCGCCAGAACATACCCGCTCAACCCCCTCAGAACTGCCACAACAAAGCAACACTTTACAAACAAATGAGATATGTTATATATACTATTAAAAAAAATTGTGGTTTACAGTAATTGATTGGTGTTGATCCATTCCCAAAAAGGACCTAGGCCTAGCACTTTCTGGGTGATCTCCAAAAACAGTTCTTGGATCGGTCCTTTGTTTCATGCTCAGCGAGGTTGATTGAAGTTGCCCAGGATACATATCAGGGATTGTGAAGTGTGCGGGCCGGTTACGAAGGTTTCGCGCAAAGAGACACCAATGCAGGCCTAAAAGAACAAACAAAGTGGGCACCAGCTGGCAACATCCTTCAGACATTACCCTTGTTGAGAGACTGACATGCTCTGATTGAAGACACTTTCATCTATGCAGGTTCATGTCTGGTGCAAGAGAAATTAAAGACCTGTCATTAATCATTTATCATATTCTACACGGTCCAAAATGACAACTCCAACAACCTGTGGCTTGGAAGCTGAGCTGTTGGAGGCTACAAGAATTACGAAACGCCTGGTGGCTTTGTGTAGCAAAACGCAAACTCTGCCCCCAATGTCCCCCAAAACGGTCAAAAACGAACCTGCCTCAGGATCCTCCGCTGCAGGCTTTGCCGGCGATTCATCTCCTCAGCCGCGATCCCACGTCCGCTGTTCTCAGCGAGGCCCCATATGATGGCTGAAGGCTGATCATTTGGATTCGCCCATTTAATTTCGGTAAATGATGATGCTACTTGCTGTGCCGTAGGTTGTCCCACTGCATGATTTGGATCCATAATGAAGGTTATCTAATGAAGGTATATACTATAATATTGTACAGTTACGGTATAATATGCTGGTCAATGTTGCCCTCACAGCATGTGCCGAACGACGGGAGGGATGGAACGTGAGCTGTGAGTCCCTGTATTGTAATGTAGACCCTCCATTAATAACCCCCCAGCCATGGAGATTGTAAAACCTCCTTCTCCATTGTCTCCATTATATTATAATCATTATATAAGCAAATGATAGCAAATGTCACTGATCCAAACCCTGTGGTTGGGGGACAGCCAAACGCGACCACACTGATCTCAGCTTACACAGCCCAAGCTTCTTGGAGCTCTTTGGCTTCCCTCAACTTCTTCGCAAATCTCGGACGTCACATCCACCGCGGCAGGTGGATCTACTCGATCACAGGCGGG